TGTGTGTGTGTGTGTGTGTGTGTGTGTGTGTGTGTGTGTGTGTGTGTTCTGGGAAATCCCTGTCAGCAGGAACAAAATAATCTTATCAGGTGTTTTGCAATTTCTCTCCGCTGTGCAGTTTTCAGTCAGTGGCTGTTTATCGTCTCACTTTGTTGTTGAAGCCAGAAAACTCAGCAAAGATTTCGGATTGTTTTAACCTTTCTGGATTCAAAACCTTTCAATGTGTGAAACAGCTCAACCAGATAACGGGAGATCTTTAGAATCTTTTAAATAAATAAATAAATGGATATCTAAACTTTATTTAATCAAATAGAAAGAGGAGAGAGGGGTGAATGTCTTTAGGTTTTGAGTTCTGTGTGCTCGCGTGTTGTGTAGGATTGAATCTGTGTGCTTCTATTTTGTTTTGTTTTTGGTGAATATGTGGGGAAAACGTGTGTAACATGTCGGTGGTTTCGTGGTAGAATACAACCAAACCAGTGTCTTTGCCTTATGGCGCCACCTGCAGTCCCCAGCACAACACTACGTGTTCACTAAACGTTCATGATTGGCTGTTGAAAGAGGGAGTGAATATGAAGTGTTTGAACATGGCAGCCACAGCAAATTGGCTAAATTAACCTTCCTACATAATTCCCTCTTGAAATATATAAAAGCTGTTTAGTACTTGGCTCAGATTTTATTTTCATACCCCTACTTAGGTCACTGGAATATTAGTGGTCATTTATTGAAACCATTTCCCTTACCTTCCCAGTATTGTAATGTGTGTGTGTGTGCGTGTGCGTGTGTGTGTGTGTGTGTGTGTGCGTGACGTTTCAGCTGCTGGCAGCATCACCACCTTCTCCGGAGAGGCCAACTTGTGTCCCCGATGCAACAAGAAGGTGTATTTTGGTGCGTATACTATCACACTTCTACAGAACAAGGTGAAGGGGGAAAAAGGTTGGAGAGTGAAAGGTGTGAACTTTGCAAGTGGTTGCCATGGTGTCTCACAGGTGTGTGTGTGTGTTTGTCACAAATAGCTGAGAAGGTGACATCACTGGGGAAAGACTGGCATCGGCCCTGTCTGCGCTGTGAGAGGTGCAGCAAGACTCTGACTCCTGGCAGCCACGCAGAGGTGAGACAAAGGAAGTCGGAAAACCGCTGACAAAGTGGTGGTTTTGTGCCGGACTGCATTATAATAAGAGGTGTTTCTAATATTCTGCCCCTCCTCGTGTCTGTAAATAGAAACACCTCTCAATATAACGTAGTCTGGTACAAAAGTACAATTTTCACAGCCATGTGTGTCTTTCTCATTACACCTGTAATCGATACTCAATAACTAAACGCTATGTCACAGATACATAGTAAAGAAAACATATGAACGAGTGAATTATCTTGAAAGTATATATATATCACAGGGCGGCACAGTTAACCAAATATTAATCTTGATCACGATAAACTGTGTATTACTCATTTTGGACCCTTATTTCAAGTCTTACTTTGATGCAAATGTCTGTACATTAGCTGGAACAAGACGGGAGAGAAAGCAGTGCTCTGTTTATTTAAATGTGAAAGAAGCAATAAGAAAAATGTTGTCCCTAAAATAAATGAATTGCGATCTCAATATTGATCAAAATAATCGTGATTATCATTTATATACAAGTAAATGAACCCCCTCCCAAGAACGAGAAAAAGAATAATTAAATAAACATACAAGATAAGATAAGAGATAAATGAAATAAAGACAAGAGGACGACAGAAGACAAATGGGAAATCAACACCTAATTCAAGTCATGAAGTTAACAGGACATTCAAGTGTCTCTCTTTGTCATTTTCAACCTGCCTGACTTTTTATGGGACAGAAAACATGATCTTATTGTGTTGATGTTTGTATTTCTTTACGTTGCAGCATGACGGCCAGCCCTACTGCCACAAACCGTGCTATGCTGTTCTCTTCGGGCCCAAAGGTAACCGCTAGGGGGTGCTGTCCACCCACCAAATATCAGCTACACTTGAAACAGAATGTCTGAGCACTCGATCCACGCTGCACACAATGAGCTTGTTACTCAAGAGTTATTTCATTACAGCGTTATCTGCCACACAGCAGGTTGTTGAGGAAAATGTTTTTGCAACCTCTGCTGCTGCACCTTTCTCTCGCTCCTCTCTGTTAAACCCTCCCCCCCCTCCTGATACCCTCTCGCTCTCCCTGTGGTTTTTCCAGGCGTGAACACTGGTGGTGTTGGCAGCTACATCTATGAAAAGGAGCCCAGTGCAGTGACCCAGCCTTGATCCTTTTGTCCCCTCAGCTTCATCCCTCGTCTCTTCACAACACTGACCATCAACCACAGTATTATTCGTAGCCTGTTTTCTTCCTCCCACCTGTGCGTTCATACCTGAGACAACCGGCCTTCTGATCCTTTTTCTCCTTGATTCTGACCCGCTCCCAGCTGATTTAGCACCACGAGGAATGATTTATATATGCATTTGCTCCGGGAGAGCCACATCCAGCATTCCCACCAGGTTGCTACAAATGATTTCAACCTTTTTTTAATTTTTATTTTTTTGCCATGTTTACACATTTATAAATATATGTGATCATATTAAATGTCACCACAGTTAAATACGAGGGTCTTATATTTCAATGTTGTACCCTGAAAACCGTGCGATTGTTTTGAGATGATGTATGTTTGTTTTGGGAAGGTTTGGGAAGGTGCATTGTGGGTAGAGGTGCAGCGCGGTGACAGCCAGAGGAATTTCAGGCAGTTGCCATATTTGCATTTTGGCTGCCTGACAACATTCCTAAAAGTCCCAACATATTGTAGAAAGGTGGGAAATCTGATCTCTCAGGCGACTGTTACAAGGTTTTCAACACATCCATGAGGCCGTAACATGAATTTATTTGACTTTTGAGCATTATGTTAATAACCTATTTAATGTCAAAATCTGGATCATGTGCTAATAAATAACAAAAATGTCTATTTTTAGAATGAGGCAGAATGGGGGTGAAGTTTTGCTAAGGGAGGGCTGTGCTTTGCCAGAACAGAAACATGTATTTATAGCTTCCAATCAAGTCCTTAAGTTAATTAGCCATTGTACTACTACTACTACTACCCTCTGTGTGATTATGAAGGAGGTCAAACAAGGCGACGTAAGCTGTATAAATCTCTACGATCAAGATGTTTATTGTTTATTTCAAATAAATAACACTGCTGTTATTTTCCTAGAGATGACGCACTATTTGAAGTGTTTCTTTGTTGTTGCCATTAGCAGGAACAGTAGCTTAGCTTGTAGAAACACTGCAGACAAGTCATTCTGTAAGAATGTGCATCCTGGTATTAGTGTACGACTGTTACTGTGTTTGTTGAATACCTGTTGTACATCGTAGGGCTCCGTAGACCCTGCAGGGCTCACTGCAGCCCTGCAGGGTTCCTCTTTTTAATCCCTCGAATAAACAGAAACTCTTCATCTGTGTCGTTGCCATTATTGTTTCACAGAGTTTTTAACTCCCTTTTTCTGTTCATGAATTGCAATAAACAAACTAAATGTCGTGTGAGCTTGTGGATTTGTCTGATTAAAGTAAAACAATACAATATTCACGCCCAGTTTGACTATGAATACCATACACTCCTTAACAGTACAGTTTCATCATTGAGAGCTGGAGGAACTAATGTGTCACTCCTCCAAAAAGCAGAACCTTCAGCGAGCTTTTCCCTGAATGAATCACTCCTCATTCATCTCAGGTCGGTAGTGACTGTCATAACCGTAACGATCGCTTCCTCTGACAAGTTTCTTTTTGTGTGAATTATAGGGGAAAATACACAAAGTGTTCAGAGAGTAATAGCAACTAATTTATTCGAGTTTAAGAAAAAACTGGAAACTATTGTAAGCTATTATGTTGAGTATGTTAAGAAGCAGGGTTCCTATGTGTTTCGTGCTTTTATTGTGAAGGAGGAGACGGAAAGAGAGAGAGCGGAAGGAGGTTCTGAAGGCGTGTGTGACAAGGAATAAAGTGGCAGCCATCTTGGCGCCGAACGCAGAGCCCGTGTTTGTTATTTTATTATTATCCTAAAGTAAAGTATAGGCGCAACATAAACCCTCGGCTACACTATATTACGTAGTTGTGTTGAGCGTGCTGTTGTTACATTATGCATATATAATAAATGATGTATAACACATGATGTAGTTGTACACAGCTATAAGGACATTTAATGTGGACATTTTATATTATTACAACAGTATTGTCCCTCATTCTCTACTTATGGGTGCCTTCAGATGGATTTAAAGTTGTTGACGTACAATAATAAAAGCTTTTTGCACACAACTACATTATAGTGTTTTCTGCAGGCTATTTGTTAAATGCTTACGTGCTAAATAGGGTAAAGTAAACTAAAAGTTACAATACTAAAGTAAAGTATTTCCAGAGGAATTTTCTTAAAAAATGACTGCTGTTGATGGTTAGATCAATGTAAAACAAATCGCCATTAAACACAAAGTAGTAAATGTTAATCACATTACTAGAAAACTTATTCTCCACACTGGTTGAATGTCATGCTTGTCTGTAATTTACAACTACAAAGACATACAGAACATGTTTCACTCTTGTATGTTCAGCTGATCTGCTGTTTACTGACTGAAAACTTTTGATTCTTACATAGCGAATAATTGGAATTAATGACAAATTACATAGAAACACAGGAACACAAACTGTGTTGCTCTTTTTAGGCTATTGGTACCACATTATTATTATTATCTTTTCATTTTGTTCACCTGTAAGTGCCTCATGCACTGCAGAAACAAGCAATAGTGACAGGTATTTAGAACTGGATTATCTTGCTTTGCTTGAGGCTATACGTGATACTCTGACAGTATTCAGGAACCTGAAGGAACAATGACTGTGTTTGAAATAGACCGGAGGGTGTTAGCTTAGTTAGTACTCTGAGGCAGCGCTAATATCACTGTTTCTCATTCCACACATACGTATGTAAACATAATGACTGACAGCAGGGAGACGGTTTCAGGTAATGCAGTTTCGGTAGCTTCTCTCTCTGCACACGCGGGCTTCACAGTTGCACACAAAAATCGAAATCTAATTTCTTTGTACCGCTGTCTACTGGGCCGCACCCAGGGAAACTGTATGGTTGGGTGGATACCAAACAGATGTCAGTATGTGGCGTCACACGGCCGCCTACATTTGAGCTATTTATTGTTTTCAAATCAGTCACTCACACACACACACACACACACACTCACACCTTGGACTGACTGTGTTCTTGTGATGTTGACTGCCAAATGAAACCGTCTGTTGCCGTCAAAATTATACACAAATGACTTAAAGTGAAAACAGTTGTCTCCACCTGCAGGATGTGTTTGCCTCAGTAATGAAGAGTGAACAGCTTCACTTAGCTTTCAGTGTCTATACTGAATGTGGAAAGATTGTCTCCTACATTGTATGTTAAATTCTGTTCTTTGTTTGCCAAATTTTGGATTTATTGTATTCTTTATACACAGCTTTGGACCCAATGAGGGGAAATCAATTCCTCTTTTCCTTTGGATCATTTCCTCTTCATTGAGGGGAGTGAGACTTTGTCTCACATCATAAAACAATATTTTCCATCATCTACAGTTATTCCCTAAATAGAAACTTGCATACTGGGGCTGTGAACGTTCCACGGACTCAACCCATCGACCAGATGTCCGAAAGCTTCAGCGAAGTGACCGAAGCAGCCGTATCGGGAGAGCAGGAGAGTAGAGGTCTCTTTAATGGAACCGGTCTCTGTGTGGATCTCTTTGTCACTTTCTCCACCGGTAGACCACTCTAACATGAAGCAGCGACTTCACATGTTCAAACAGCTTATGGCGAAGACTTATCACGCTGAGGATGGGTTGAATTTTTAAAAAATGAGATGATTTTGTATCTTTAAACCTAAAATATGCTGCAACAATTACAGTTTTGGGGGAAAAAAACATCCTGAGATATTATTTATTAGGAGTAATGCCGTGTTCACGTCATATTGGATGGATGAAATGAGAACGATTACTATGTTTCATGAAGACAGTTGAATGATTACAGAGTTGGTCTTGTCATGATTAATATACTGTGCTCTGATAATACGACATATCCGTTAAACTCATTTAGAGTGAGCAACAGTCTTTGGCTGATGTGAGGCGCCCAAATTTGTTTTGTTCTCAGGCACGCATTACGTGATTGCGACTTGGATGTTGACGTCAGCGCTACGCACAAGTCCTAAACTCATAATTACGATAATTACCATATGGCACGAACACAGCCTTACACACAAAGACCGGTCCACTGTTTTGACTGACTGTTGCTTGGCAACATGAGCAAACAACACACCAACTGTTTGTCAGATTTTGGTTCAAATCCTGATTGGTGCATGCGTGACATCACTCTTTTTTTTCTGAATGAGTCCTGCCCACTTTAAACCAGCTAAAGGGAACTCAAGACTTAAACAAAACTGATCTAAATGTGGTAGAAAATATTATGTTCATGTAGGATCCCATCTCTCATAGTAAGAAGCTGATTGAGAAAACAGTTTTTCTTTAAATAAACTGTGCATCCTCTGCTACAACATACACAACACCCAATTCTCAGAGGTCGGGTGTCAGTCGGACCCTGACGCTGTGAAGCAGCTGTACAGAGCTCTCTGGACTCTGGATCTCACCCATGTTAGCTTAACTTCAGCCCCCGTCAGGTGCAAGACAGACAGCCAGGATACCGGCAGACTGTTTTCTTTCCCCCATTCACTTCACCACGCTGAATTCATTATCGAGGCGCCCCCTGGTAATTAAATTACGCTTATTGGGACTAGCTAATCATAAGAAATTTACATATCACTTCGGATTTTTTCAATAGCCATTGCTCCAGTCAAAAGGCTAATTCAGCAAAACATCTGATGGGAGGTTCCCACTTGATAACATAAATCACACGTGTGCCATCACAAGCTTGGTTTTTGCATAAGAACTCAGTCTGGCTTAACAGTACAGTTACATCAGATCCTGCGTATTAGTGAAAGGCATCAGGGGCTTTTCAACCATTGTCCTCATCACAGAGACAATGCCATCTGAATGCACATCCTTCCACTGCCCCTGATGGTTTTAGCAAACCTACAGATCCTTTTCTTTCTTTTTTTACATGTGTTATGGGCCAGTTATCTGCACGCAGAGTCGGTGAGAAGCAGATGTGAAAGTGTAATCACTGAACAGCGTGTCAGCCGCTCCCTCCTCCTGCTCTTTACATCCTCCCTGTGGCCGCGACAGCTCAGGACCCGCCTGAACTCAGCCAGCTGGACCTGTATTTCAACATTTCAAATGTGAGGACAATGTTGCAGAAAAGCCGAACCCCAGAACCTCCCTGCTACCCGGACGGCCCAAAGTAAAAAATTTAAATCTACCCCACGCAAACAATCGCTCAGCACAGGTGGGCCGTCTGCTGTTTCACATTGTCGAGAGCAGCAACAAAGAGACATGAAACCGTGGCAAGCTGCCGCTGTCCGGGCGTGAAGCCAAGACCCTCCCTCCCTGTTGTCTCCTACGCTCTGAATCCTCTGCATCCCGCTCTCCCACTGGTCCCTCAGGGCCCCCTCCAGCCCACGATGAAAGGATTTTTATCATGCTTTTGGTAAAGCGAGCTCGTTTTTGTTTTTTTTTGCACAGATATCGGTAACTCAAAGAGACCAGCAGCCTTTCCAGGTTATCTCACACTTTCAGTGTCTGTGACACTACATGGCAGAGGGCAAATTGGGGGGGCGGTGACCGTGAGGATAAGCTTCGTTTTGGCTCAGTCCTGGTTGAGCCAGCCAAAGCATATCACAGATTAGTTAACCGTGTATACAAAGACAGTCCCTTTGATTGGAAATCCAAGAGCAACAGTGGAGCTTTCTGCTGTCATTTATCTGGTCTGTGGAAGTGGACCTGGTCAGGACAACTAAAGAGATAAAACTCAAAGTGAGATTATAACAACATGAGATTGAATTACTTGTGATAGTCAAAGTATGCTTGTGAAGCTGCGGCTGAATTCAGATGTTTTGCCTGGAAAATCTTTGATTCAATTAAATCACGTTAGCAAATAGAAGCACTAAAGTCAGTCTCACCTCTGAAAATGTGCGCTTGTGCGTGTTAACATGACGTCGGATCAGTTACATAATGTTCAGCCACACCCTTCAGACGGGCAGGAAGCAGCTGTTAAACCGATCACATTTCTCATCATCACGTCTGTCATAAGTCTTTTCCCTCTTTTGTCACCTTTTCCTGTTGTTCTGCTCTTTGCTGCAGGTTTCCACTGCACATATTTAATTCAGTATATATATATATATATATATATATATATATATATATATATATATATATATATATATATATATACATACATGATCTGCAGGAAGGTTATTGAGTGTCGGGGTCAGAGGGGAATGATGGAGAGAATAAAAGAGATTCATTTGGAAAAAAGGTAGTGGCTTCGGTTGCCAAGCTTTTTTAAAAAGGAAAGTTGGCAGTCCATTCACCTTTTAGTATTTTGTGTAATTCTGTT